GCTGTCATGGTTTCACCGCCCTCTCAACAACTCTTTAAAAGTGTTTGGAGTTACAGGAAAATTAACCGAGATGAATTCAGGAATCCGATTAGAAAAAATGATCTATGCTGTCCAAGTACATACTCCGGATATGACACAAACACACTTTTCAACTTATATGAATCCACCTTCGGGCAATTCATAGATCAATATACTCCTATAAAATGTATTAAAGTCCGCTCAAAATTCAGGGGCTGGTTTGATGATGAATGCTACAAGGTAAAACGTTCTACACGAAGATTTGAGAGTATATATCGTTCAACAAAAAACCCAATCGATCTCAATCGCTGGAAGAGTGCGATAGGTGAAAAACACATGTTATTCGTCAAAAAAGAAAAAAATTTTTACCAATCGATGTTTGTCTCAAACTCTCAAAATCCTGGAAAGCTATGGAACATCGTGTCTACCTTGCTTGGGAAAAATATTTCTCCTAACTTTTCAGTTTCGTCAATCTCAGCTCAAGATTTCTTGCAACACATCAAATCGAAATCTGAGGTATCATTTGAAGGTGGAGGTCTCCCGGTTTTTACAACAACTCAACATCGGTTCGACCACTTTGAACCTATCTCTACTGAAGATTTAAAAAAACTAATTCAATCGTCGAATGGGAAATCATGCAGTCTTGATCCGCTCCCAACATTTCTTCTAAAAGAACAACTGGACTTGCTCTTGCCATTTTTGTGCCACCTGGTCAACAGCTCCATCCATATGTCAATCATGCCAAGATCTCAGAAAACGGCTATAGTTAGACTTAAATTAAAAAAGTCTGGTCTCACACCTGATGCTGTCAACAACTGATGTATGTGATGCAGTTGACATGGGCAATATAGCCATGCTTGCACTGCTGGATGTTAGTGCTGCCTTCGATACTGTTGATCATGATATTCTGCTAGAAAGACTTTCAGTCTCATATGGTGTAACAGGGGATGCACTTAGCTGGTTTCAGTCCTATCTGACAGATAGAATACAGATTGTCAACGTTGGGGAAGGTGTAGACACAGCTACGTCAGAAATTACCTGCGGTGTTCCACAGGGCTCCGTCCTTGGCCCTCTGTTATATATACTATACACTGCCGATGTAGTCAGCGTTGTGGAATCATCAGGTGCTTGTTGCCATTTGTACGCTGACGACATTCAACTATACGGATCTGGGTCTGCGAGCTCGTCTTATCAACTCTCTACAACTGGCACGGAAAAAGCAGTAGGAGAATGGATGACAGCAAATAAATTAAAGCTAAATATCAACAAAACGCAATACATGTGGCTAGGAACACCTCATAAACTCCTTCAGGTTGACGGGTTCAAAGATCCAGTGACAAATCTAGGTGTGGTTTTGGATCCAGACCTTTCTTTCAATGAAGGCTCATGTAAATAAACTATGCAAGAAATGTTTTTTCCAGCTTCAAAAACTAAGAGCCATCAGACGATATTTGACAGTTGACTCTACAAAAGCTCTTGTTTGCAGTTTCATTTGTAACAGGATTGATTTTTGTAACGTGATGATGTATGGGATCAACCTTTCGCTACAAGATGATGTTCAATCAGTTTTGAACGCTGCTGCTAGACTGGTTGCTGGCGTATCAAGGTTTGATCCTATCTACCAATTCATTAGAGATGAACTGCACTGGCTTCGCATGCCAGAGAGAGTAAAATTTAAACTAGCTCTACTTGTAAGAGATTGTTTGACTGGAGATGCACCAATCTACCTGAGGGATCAGATTTATTCAGTATCAGAGATTCAATATAGGGGTCGACTACGATCATCAAGCCGCGGTGACCTACACATTCCTAAGTTCATATCTTCTCATTTTGGAAAAAGAAGATTTTCAGTAGCATCTGCCCAGATTTGGAATGCGTTGCCTGCTGATCTAAAGAATTTCAACATCAAGAATCGAAATGAATTCAAAAAACGGCTAGACTCATTTTTTCAACATTCAACAGCGAAGAAAGTAGAGAGCGCTTCTGAAGTCAACTCATAAGAGGCGCTATACAAATTCTGCAATACATACATACATACATTGTAGGTAGGGTGTGTACGCCCATACCAGGTCAGATGGCACGCTCTACAACTTGGCTCGTTTAGGTGCTAAAACCAAGGTCACCAGGGTTCTCATTCGTGAAATACTTTATGCTGATGAAGATGCCTTTGTATCGCACACTGAAACGGACTTAAGTATTTTGTAATCGCCTCTCCCAGGTGTGTAGAGAAGTAGGATTAATCATAACTCTGAAGAAGACCAATGTAATGGTTAAAGACATTCAGACTCCTCATAAAATCACCATTCATGGACATACACTGGAGGTTGTTAAGAACTTTATCTACCTCGGGTTGACCATTTCCGGTTCTATGTCTGCAGATTGTGAGGTAATGGCCAGGCTAAATCAGCTAGTATAGAACAACCCCAGTCTGTGAAAACTAGACTATGTGTTTACCAGGCCTGCGTGCTTAGCACTTTTTTATATGGTTGCGTTAGGTAGACTACCTGTGTGAGACATAAAGGAAAACTCAACAGCTTCTACATGAGCAGCTTGCGTCGCCTGCTGAGTATCAGATGGCAAGATAGAGTTTTTAATGATATTTTGAGGTGTTTGGTGTTTTTCTGGGATCATTTTTGGAATCAATCCTCTTTTTACTATACACAGAGGCCGTTGAATTTAAAGTCAAGTGACATATTTTCGCGTCCGACATACAATTTGTTGCAAAATGTCAAGTCACGATTTTTATGAGTATGAGAGAAAAAGTGGTAAATTAAAAATTTGATCTCACTAAATAGATTAAAATTGAATGGAACAAAAAGCCAGTTTTTCAAACCTGTTGGAATATGGCAACAAACTTCAAATCTAGAAATTTATTCCATTAATATTAATTGAATGGAAATTGACTTCAGCCATAGCGCAAAAAAATCTGGGAGTTATTTTTGATAACAACATGTCAATGCAAATACACGTTAAAACAACTAAACGTGAATGTTTCTTACAGCTTCATAAAATGAGGTTTACCAAAAAAAATCGTTAAATATGGAGCCAACTTTTGGCTCGCTCGTTCATCCTTTCAAGATTCTTTTACTACAACCCTCTCTTCTGCACTGTTTTAGAGTTGTGTTTGTGTTGTCCACCGAAACGGCGAGGACGTTGCGTCGCTATTAAGTAACGTTCTGCCTTCCGTGAGATCGTAGATGACTTCTTTAAAGGATTATATTTGTGCCTTTTATTTCCCGAATTTTCGTTACCACCATGAATCAGTTATGTTTTTGAGTACTCATCAACAAAATCAAAATTGAGCAGCGAATATTGTATTTGGTGGCTGGAAATTTGATTATGTTGCCATTTTGGTGTTCAAATGCACCTATAAATTTGCTCCCAAAATTTTCATTGAAACAATGTCTCAGCGTCTACGGTCTCATAAGCATAGACGCTGAGACACCATTTCATCCTTAGAGATCGCACTTATTTGACTCGTTACTTGCAGTTATGGACTTTGACCCTGACCCTAAGCTGTTGATGAGATGCAGTTTGGTGTTCCTCAGGGTTTAGTGCTTATTGGAATCTTTTACTGTGTTCATCACTGCACAAGTGAAGAAAAACATTCTGGGTGTGAGGGAGGAAAATGGATTTTGAGAAATTTGTTACATCCAAGTTAATATCTGCGCAAAGGTATTTTACCAACTGAGTGTAGCTATTATCTTTTTTGTTTCCCAAAATCCACAAATCACTCCCTTGAGTGCTTCTCAGGCTTCCTCTTCTATTCCCTTCAAAACTTCGTCAAACGAACAAATTTCAACGGTCTTACTTATTTTGAGCTCGACTAATTTACCTTCTTTGCATCAACTGGTTTGAGAGATTTGTTTTTAAATATTTGATAGCCTGACCTTCTTTGTTCGCGCCTTTAACAAAATTGCTCATTAAGCAACAATCTTTAGCAATAACATTTGTTTCATCATTGTTGAGATTTTTGCAATGCATTATGTAATGTAATGCAATCTTCTACCCATATTGACCCACATACGCATGAAGCAGCAGTATTTTTTATATCCTAATTGCATTTCTTAAATTATAAAAATGACTTTTAAATCACCACGGGTTTTTTATTTTTTAATTAAAGAAGAGATATTTCTGTTTAAATAAGTGTATTTCATATGGGTAACTGCATGGCCAAATGGAATAAAAGGAACATGGTTCTCATTATAGATCAGTTGTATCATAGTTCCAATTGGAATAAAACATTAAAACATCTTCTTAACTGTATTTCTCAATATGTAATTTTTAATTCTATTTTTAATGTCATTTTTTATATCAGCATGTGGAAATACCCAATAATAAATAGTTCTTTTTCTTTGTTGTTAATAATAGTTTTACGGTTTCAAAAACGTGGAAATATTTGCAGGTGTCATGTTATTGTTTCTTTGTTGAATATTGTTGAAAAAATGTATAGTGAAAAATATTTGATTTACTAAAATGTTTATAAATTGATGCATCATAGTAATTATTGGTACATGGCAAGCATCATTAACAGCTGTAATGCTAAACTGTTCTGCATAGTGCTACACATTATTTGGAAATCCAATTATTTATAAATTATCGAGATACATAGAGAACAATGTTTACGCAACGAAATCGAAAACGGTTGCTGAACTTATAAAAGCCGTGAACCTGAATATGCCAAAATTTCAAGGAAATTTCATATCAATTGTTTTACAAATTTTCAAACTCAAATAGTTATTTTAAATATGTATAGATATATGCTTTTATCATTTTATCGTATGGTTTGTATAAAGTTGAAAACTGTACAGTTTTATAAATTGTTTTACAATTTATTGAAATAAATTTTAATTTGGCTGCGTTGTCAATAGAAATGTTTTAATTTAATTATTTATTAATAACTTGAAAATTCATTGTACAAGTTATCAAATTTTTCATCACATATAGTAAAATAATACATTATGTTTTTAGCCAAACAAAATATGATAGACTCAGCAAATTCTTGGTGGGAACAAAGAAACTTTTCTGATGTAGCATTAAGTGCTCTTGGTACACATCCGGTTGTATCCGAAATAAAGAAAAGAATGATTCATAACATACCACATCTTCCAAACCTGAACGGTAAATATTTTATTCAGCAGCTATATGAGTGTCAATATATAATTATAAAAATTCTCATCATTATTTGATTGCCAGTTTTTAGATTTAATATTTTATTATATTGTATATTGTTTGTCATTTCTTTGGATTTGGCTGTTTTCATGATTACTTTTATTAAAAAAAACCCCAGAAATTTAAATCTAGCGGTTGACAGCTATTCAACAGTTACTAGCTAAGCTATAACGTTTTGTAATTAAATTTACTTGAACTTCTTCTTTTATAAATTTTAACTTTTTAATTATTATTAAAAATCTCAGTTTCTTTAACCTTAGCCTATCTAGTACTTCAAGATATGATGCTGGCTGCTTTTCTAAATTTTGTTAGTCTAGCTACTACCGTGCAAAAATCAGATACACAGTTTTTTTTAAATAACATAGATCAAATAAGTGGATAGCATAACTGGGCAAGCTCTAGTTTATTCATTAAACAAAATGACAAAATTAATTTTTATGACATTGTCTTAGATCTCCAATGTTGACAAAGTTGATATTTTAGCTTGAATTAAATCAATCAATCTATCTTCGTTTAGCGTCCAGAGACCCTGTTAACTCGAGGTAGGACGTTGTTTTCTTTGCCATCAATTTTTTGCACCAAATTAGATGATCACTTGTATCCATTTCTTCAACATCTGCAAGAGAAGTTATGGCACTGTTTCCACTCCGTTTGACATGACCAAACCACCGCAGACGGTGTTGCCGGCATTCCTCCTTTATATCATCTAGAACAGCACGGTTCGTTGAAGTTGTTGTTCCAGTTTGGTTGTCATTGGCCATGTTTCTGCACCATATAACAACACCGGACGTATCACAGATTTATAGTCTTAATCGTAGTGGTAGTGGGATGTCACGCCGCATCAATATAGAAGCAAGGAGATGCCATTTATACCATGCTGCACGTTTGCGTGCTTGAACGGCAGCTTCAGCTGCTCCAGTACAATCCAGAACATCCCCTAGATATTGAAAAGATGTGACTTTCTCTACCTTAATGGCTTCAAAAACATTGCTATCTCGTATTTGTTGTTGTGGATTGATGCAAGCAGGACAAAAAAAACTGGACACTTTAGATAAAGTACCAATTATTTTTGAACAACGTTTGTGACACCACTGGTTACACTGCTGACACTTGATTGAATTGCTACCTACACCAGCTTTACAAACTGAGCAGGGCCATCGTCCAGTAGCTGTGGATTGGATGGGTTCACCAGTGTTCATTGCTTTGGTTTTGCTGATGTTGACTTTGAATCCATGATCGGCGAGTCTGGTATTCCAATCTTCAAACATCTGTGCTGCATTCTGCTCAGACGTAGCTGTTAAAACGATATCATCAGCATATATTATATTATAATATAGTAATATTACATTGGTCATAAATATATGGTTGGTCACACGATATCATCAGCATATATTAGATTCCAAATGTCACCAGTGTGTATCGGTTTTGTGATTTCTTCCATCACAGTTATAAATAACAGTGGACTGAGAATCGAGCCTCGGTGAACTCCGATGTCAAATGCATCCGTGTTTCCAACCGTTGTGCTGACGAAAGTCTTAGTATTCGTATACATTTCCATCTCAAGTCGAACAAGATATTCTGAAATGAGTTATCGACGAAGCTTCCACCTGATTGCTTCACGGGGAACTCGATCAAATGCTTTTCCAAGGTCTTCAAAAATGTGTGATAGTTGTTGATGCTTTGCAAGGTACTTCTCTCGCAGTTGCCAAAGGATGTGAATTGCATCAATTGTTGATTTCCCTGCTAGAAAACCAAATTGATAATTTCCGATTGTGATGCACGACGTTAATCTTCTCTCAATGATTTTTTCGACAATTTTCAGGGAGTGTTCTAACAGACGTATACCCCGATATGATGAACAGTTCAATGGATCACCTTTGCCTTTGTCGAGCGGAACTGTCATACTATAGTTCCATTCAGTCTGCATTGAACAATTTTTCCAGATTTCACGGCAAAGTTGTAGTAACGTTTGGATACCTGCAGTACCAGATGCTTTGATAAGTCATTTGTGAGTCCAGATTGCCTTGCTGCCTTTCCATCCTTCATAGCTTTCACCCCTATAATTTATATAATTTTTCTAAGCAAATTATTTGACTGCTGCCGCTTTTTTAGCTTTGTACGTGTACTTTTTTTATAGTTTTAGTTATTTTCGATTTTTAAGATTTTACCTTAACAATTTTTTACAATTAATTTGTGTCCAATTAGGCGATCTTTTGTAAAAATACGTTATATTAATTAGTAATTTTTTGTTGAAAAATAGTCATTTAAAATTGTTGAGTTTTAACTTTTGATTAAATCCAATTTACACAAATTATCAGCAAAAATATTATTTATAGGTTTTTCAGAAATTGATAAAGATTCGATTTTTTCTTGTTCATCTTCCAATATTAAAATGCTACAATTTGGATCTGATGGCTCAATTATTAAACTCAATTTCAATAATGTTAGTTTCAAAAAAAGCATGAATTTGTTTTTGATTTAAAGATGAGTCTCCAAGTTTATTTTCAAATACTGATTACGTCGCTAAATTCAAAAAATTGCTTTATTGTGTTTTACGCTTAATTTTGAAATTTCTGGACGTGCGGTTTAAGATACTCAGGTATATGTAAAAATGTTAGAACATACACAACGTTAGTAAATGGTTTACATTTAAATGAATGAACATTTAAATTTACCTCGTTGTTTAAAATAAAAAATTCTTATTTCAAATATTGTGATGCAAAGTTTTTTTTTAATGTTTATAAAAAATAAAGCTGTTGGAGAATTTTTTAAATTATGTTTAAACTTTTATATGGTTCATTTAAAATATTTTCATATTACATATTGAACATATGTTTATATTGATCCAGACCAATGTTGCTGATGGTAACCACAAATTAGGCGTGTTTGTTTATAAAACGTTCGACGAGAAGGATTTTAATGATTTTGGTTTGATATACAATTACAATAATGATTGGAGTGCTGGTTTTTACAAACCTAATATTACCATTTCTGCTAATCCAGAAAGCAAATTGTGGAAAACTTTTGTTAGCAATCTATATATTAACAAAGGTCTGTGTTTAACGTTTAAACAAAAATAAATAAAATAAACTTTTTGAAAATTTTGAATTATTTTAATTAACTTTGACACCAACATAACCCCGCAACACATTCCATCAACATAACCCAACATCAACATAGCCCAACAACTCACTCTATCACAATTAAGTATTTTGGTTTTATTATCTGTACTGCCGAGTTTAACTTGTTTAACGTTTTTTAGTTATGCTTTAATGAACACAAACCTCTGCGGTATTCCATATTTCATGATTAGTAAGTTTCTCGCCTCGTATGCCTTACATATATCAAACTGCACTAATAAATTTTCTGTCTCGGTTTTTGATGAGAACCGTTGCTTATGAAAAGAGACATTGATTGGTCTGTAATGTCCCTTCTGGATCTAAAACCTGTTTGATTTTCATTCAAGATATTGTTTGTTTCCATCCACTATACTAGATCGCCCCTTGATGCAAAATACCTACAATGAAACATTTTTTTTTAAATCGGCTTGGGTTTCTTGGGATAACTTTTTCAAAACGTACGATTGCTTGTTTGATATATTTTTATTGGGAACTTATTAAAAAATTTCAAGCGACGAAACCTATAACATTTGCATGTTTTTTGTATGTCCCTTGATCTAGAGACAACTAATATAAATATGTAGGTTCCAATCACTAATTTATTTTTGCATGTTTAATTCATTCTCGTCACTATGTCGTATTTATTTGCGCAATTGATTCAAAAGTAACGATATTTAATGATAACTTTAACTTGTGCCTTGTTAAAGTCAACAAATCATTGAGTTTTTTCCCGTATTCATTAAATCAATCAATAAATCAATTAATTAGTTTATAAAGCGCCATTTCCGCGATTTTCGACAGCGCTCCTCAATGAATTTTGCATACCGATGGGTCTTGATATCCGCTTTGAACTTCGTACGTAATGGAGAAGTAGTCAGAGAAATAGGTAGAAAATTCCAGAGAAAAGGGCCAGAAAAAGCAAAAGCAGATTTAGCAAAGGAGTGTTGGTTATAAGCGTCTCTGCGTTTGTCGTGGCTAAAATGAAATAAAAAATGTGAAAGTTGTATAATATAAAGATGAAAAAAACTTGACAACTTGTTTTTTCACACTATTTTATATTTCAATACACAGAGAAAGAATGTGATTTTTGGTTAAATATGTCAATGGTTGAGTTGAAATCTGTAAGTTGGTACGGCGCGCCTGCACAAATGTGGGTTAGATATACAGCTAGACTTTTTCCAAAGCAAGGCTAGTGTTGAAATTGAAGCGATTTAAATGCTTGTTTACCTAAAGAAATAACTCAAAATTTTTAGACAGTTTACTGTGTAATATAATTATGATGCAACTACTTAAACTAACTTTGCACTCGAATAATTTTAGCTAATTTTTCTTTATATTAGGGATAGATATGGTCTTACAGTGGTTTAATAAAACAATTACTCGCTTGCCGGAATCAATATCAGTAGCATTTAAACCTATCTTGGATAGTCGACGTGATTGGACAATTTATAAAATGAATCAGAAAATAAATCCTTACAATGTTATCAAAAATGGAAGTCAATATAATCACGGTTAATTTTAAAGAATTAAAAATTTTCAAACGCTTGTTATTAACATTTTGCTTTTTTATTAGGTAATTTTTTAATTGTAAATTGAATGTGTTTGAAGTGAATAGATGCAAAAAGTTGTTAAAAATATTTGAAGATTAAAGGTTGGAAACGAAATCAATAGAAACCCCTCATATTTATTTATTTATTAACCAACGGACCAGAGGGCCACAACGACTACTTACCCAATCGGGAAAAACAAAATAAGCTTAAATACAAATAAACAAAATAGCAAATATATATTTGTAAAACTGCTACAAATGGTAAAATTCGCTATTATTAATTTTTATCTTGGTATTCGTTATAATTGTTAACCGTTGTAAAACTGAAATTTTTAAAAATCTACTGTAGGCTATATAAGACACGTTGTGCAGTTTGTTGCAGCGAGGCTTGAAGTGAAGTCGAAAATGTGGTTTGTGTAGTTACTTGGATTAGTTAAGTGTACCTATTACTGTTGATATTCGAATAAACATTCAACCAAGTTTGCGTTTGAAGCAGTTGTGTTCAGCTATCAGAAATCTAGAACCTACGGAATTACGGTAACTTGTCGATTGTTGGAAGCTACATCACTGGCGTTGGGAATATAGAGATCTTTGAAATTATAACATTTTTGTTGGTAGTAACGAGTGTCGAAATTTTTAACAATATATAAGATATACAGGAAATTATCAAAATATATATAACATTGAGCAGCCGACAAAACTATGCACACAAGCGTGCCATAATAATTCAGAACCATAATTGTGAATAGCATAGATTAACAAGGGTTTCAATTTTAACTTTATACAGGTTGTACAAAATAACAAGCTGTAGTGTTTTTATTACATTAAATATAAATTAACTTATTTTAACTTTAATTAGTATATATGAAAACACAAAAAAAGTATAATAATACAATATAATAAGAAAAGAAAAATGCATACTATAAAAATTCAAATAAATCTTAGCGAATGAATAAAACTTGTGTATTCATAGACCCTAAAATTATTACGCGACACTTTGACATGGTATATGAAACGATAATAAGGAGTTTACTATATATGTTATATATAAATTATTACGAGACACTTTTACATGGTATATATAACGATAATAAGGAATTTACGATATATGTTATATATATATAAATATCTATGTATATATTTTTATATATAATCTAGAAAATTGTTAGATTTCATAAACTACTGCATATATATAAATATATATATATATATAATATATATATATAATATATATATATACAGTAATTTATAAAATCATAAAAGAATTTCATAAATTCTTGCATTAATTATGGTCTTTTACCAGCATATATCTACACACACACACACACATATATATATATATATATATATATATATATATATATAGGCATATATATTATATAGACATATATATATATAGGCTAATATATATATATATATATATATATATATATATATATATAGGCATATATATCAATCAATCCTCGTTTATAGTCTCCATCCGTTATGGGCCGGACTTTTTTATTTCATTCATCAGTTTCTGTCTCCAGGCCGGTCTATCCATTGCGTCTGTCTCCTTGAGACCAAGTGCCTTCAAGTTTTCCTCTATGGTCTGCGTCCAGGACTTTTTTGGGCCTGGTACTCTGTAACGAAAATTATTGTATCGTTTTCGCTTTGCTTCACGTGGCCAAACCATCGTAGGAGATGACGACGACGTGCATCCTTCAACGTGCACAGTCCCGATCGGTTCAGGATCTCCGGTTGTATAAATATGGTTCCTTCACGTCAGTTCGATAAAGCTGCTGTTCTAGTTTTGTTGTCATCGGCCACGTTTCTACACCATACATTAGGACAGAACGTATATCTGTGTTGTATAGTTCTGAGCGCAGCGGTAGAGGAATGCTACGCCGCACCAGTACCGAAGCAAGGTGTTATCTGCCCCACGCCGCACGTATGCGTCCACGAACGGCGGCATCAGCTGTTCCAGTACAATCCAGCATATTTTCCAAATACTGAAATGAAGTAACAGTTTCAATCCCGGTAATCGTAAAGCACAACTGAAGTCCCTTCTTCAAATTTGCACTACCGAAGCACCATTCCACAGCCCCACAGGCAAACTTTACAAGCAAATCGACGGTGTCGCTATGGGATCCCCCTTGACGTCCTATTTGCCAGTTTTTACCTAGGACATCTGGAGAATGAGACCTTCAAAAACAATGCAAATTTAAAACCAAATATCTACGCTAAATACGTTGATGATATTTTTGTCTCCTATAACGATCCTGAACAAATCACCCAACTTCTTGGTACCTTAAACAAATTAAAATTAAGATTTACCATTGAATTTGAAAAGGAACAACGTTTACCTTTCCTCGATGTGTTGGTCACCCGTGGCGAAGAACGATTCAAAACTGCGGTCTATGTCTAAGAAACAAATACAGGAATTTGTTTGAATGGACAAAGTGAATGTAACGAACACTTTAAAGACAGCACAATAAAATCATTTGTAAACCGGGCATTCACACACTCTTCTGATATTGAAAATCGCGACGCTGAATTAAAAAGAGTCACTAACCTGCTTGTAAACAATGGATATAAGACTTATTCTATTGAAAAGATTGTTAAAGGCAAATTACTACACAACAATAACCTTCCTAGTACCAACAATCAAGATAAAGACATCATCTTGTATTACAGAAATTGCATGTCAACTGCATACAAAGTAGATGAAGCTATTCTTAAACATATCCTCAATAAAAATGTCACACCAACCAACTCAAATAGTAAATAAAGTTAAACTCCGAATTTATTACAACAATAAAAAGACGTCTCACCTAATACTGAAAAACAACTGCAGTCCTAGAGATAACTCTGTGTTAAAGCGTAATCACGTAATATATGAATTTAATTGCCCCTTTGACGGTTGTGCACGTCAACATGACTCATATATCGGGATTACTACTACCTCACTGACTAGAAGGCTTACGATGCATAAACAGAGTGGTGCTATCAAATCTCATTTGGACTCAACACACTCAATCAATATTAGCCGTGAAATCCTCGACAGCAACACCAAAGTAATATACCAGAACAGCAACTACACGCATCTTAAAATTGCAAAAGCAGTCCTAATTGACATCAATAAACCAAAAATAAATATACAACAAAAAAATGACAACCTCACTTCCAACCCGGCGCTTAATCAACAATGAAAACAAAGAAGTAATAAAAACTAGCATTGTAAATAGTGACAAAGAAGAATATGATGCTATCGATGAAGAAAAGGAAACCAACGAAGATTGGCCAGCCAATAAAGAAACCTGACACCTAATTTCCATCTAAGTTCACTTTGACAAAGTCAATATTTCCCTATATAAACTTAACAGCACTGATGATGATTCATTCGGAATCAAAATATAGTCATATTTGCAGCATGAATTTGGAAAATAAGTTTATTTTGAATTTTAATAAACTAAACGTTCTTCAAAAAACTTTAGTGAAAAAATCGAAAAAACGAAATACAAACATATTAACGCCAAACATTTGGAAGAATTTATAATATATATATATATATATATATATATATATATATATATATATATATATATATGTTGGCAATAGACCATAATTTTTACAATATTCTATAAATTCTACCGAATGTTTGGCGTTAATATGTTTGTAGTTCGTTTTTTCAACTTTTCTCACTAAAGTTTTTTGGTTAACGTTTAGTTCACCAATTCAAAATAAACTTATTTTCCGAATTCACGTTGCAATTAAGGCCATATTTC